ATGAACTGGTGAAAGGGCTTAAGCATCAATGACAGATTCACTGATAGCTCTTCTCTGTAGGCCATGTCTGTGACTGTAGGAGAAGCAGTCACAGAAGTATGATCATCTATGAGGAGGATGGAGCCCTGAAATAACAGCATCCAAAATGCCACAGTAACTATTAGTGACCATTCCCATTGGCTGACCCTCCAGCAACTGGCTCCTCTAAAGGGAGTTTCACTGATGAACTGTTAAAGTAAAACAGAACTGGAAGAAAGCAGTCTCCTTCAACTTTAATGCCCCAGCCCAGTGGATGGAAAAGGATGAAAGTGGGAAAGAGAATATCTGAAAGCAGCTGATTAGTTACCATCTTTAAAAAAAAAAAAAAAAAAACAACTCCTTTCCTCAGTGGGATTTTGCCAATACTTCCTAAATTGGTGGTTTGGACTGGTGCTACTAGTTTCTGATATGAAACATAGGCAAAGATTTTCTCAAAGCAGTATAGTACAGAGCATGGTGTTGGGGGTAGGGGGAGAGACACAAGTATGAAAAATTTTTTCCCACTTTTCCCTCATTCCATTCTAGTCTTCATCCATCTATCTTTCCTACATACTCTGTTCATGATAGCCTTCAGCTCCCACTCTCTCATTCTTCTTTGTAATTTCCTGGCTTGGAATCCATGTTTTCCTTTCTTCTACAATTTATCTAGGGTTGATTTGGAGGAAGGAGACAAAAGCTTCTGCGAGTTCATTATCTTGGCAAAAACCTAAATCTCTCTATATATAATACTTACATTTGTGTACATAAATATACATGTATGTGTGTGCACATAAAATGATTTTAAAAAAATGGGGTATGCCCTTTATAAATCAATAGATGCATTGGTTTATGTTTGTATGAGCATAGAGAACAACATGAAAACCTTATACTTTGATTACCTGAGAAGAGAATTTTGGGATAATGGCCAGATTTTTCTTTGTACTACTCTGTGTTGGAAAAGAGCTCATACAACTTCATAGTTTGAAATGAAATTATAATAAAATATATTTTAAAAATAACATGGACCAGGAGATGGCAGTGTAGTAACATATTTAGGTCTTAAGTTTCTTTCTTGCCTGTCCTGCAGGGTTCTAATGAACATAGGTGTGGGTCACAGAGATCTGCTGTTTCTAGTTTTCTGGGATTAAACTGCCATGAACTGACATTACCAGATTGCACAGTTCAATCCATATTTTATTTGCGTTGGTTGCTTGCTTAAAATATTTTTTAATATTTAAAATTTTGTGACTAAATCATTCTGATGTTCTTCTATTAGTTGTTACTGCTTTATTTGGTCACCATTAATCTATCTTTTTCATTCATAATAAATTCCTTCTTCATTAAACAATACAAAACTTTTTTTTTTTTTCTTTTTTTAAATTCATCATGCTATCAGTTGATGGAAATTCTTAAATCTTTTTGGAAGGTAGTTTGAAAAGCCAGGTTTTGACCATTTGACTCTAAGCTCTCTGGTGGGTCTCTGGTAGACCTGCTGTAGCTCACATATAGCAGTGCCCAATTCCACTAGTGGACCCAGTGCCACTAGAGGAAGGAGAGTCTGAAAGAGGCCACGCTATGCCTGGTCAACCCCACTTCCCAGTTGTTGTTGTTATGTGCCGTCAAGTCGGACCCGACAACCTGACTCATAGTGACCCCTCCTTGGGTTTCTGAGGCAGTATCACTATAGAAGTAGACTGCCCAACCTGCATTCCAAGGAGTGGCTGGTGGGTTTGAACTGCCAGCCTTCTAGTTAGCAGTCAAGTGCCTTAGGCACCACACCACCAGAGCTCCTACACTTCCCAGAGGGTCTGTTATTTTCAGTGACAGTTATTAAATACACTTTACCTCTTTACATGGATGGACTTGAGAACAGGGACTTGGTCTTTATCCACATTTGTATACCCAGTGTCTAGAATCATACATGACACATAGTAGAGGTTCAAGAGATATTTGTTAGATGAATAAGTAAATGATAGAGTGAGTGACTGCATAAAATATCCTGGGTCAATGATGTCCAGTAGACCTTTCTGTGATTATAAGACTATTCTGTATCCGTGCTGCCCAATATGGTAGTCACAAGCCACATTTGACTATTTTGTACTTGAAATGTGACTAGTATGACTGAGGAAATGAATTTTTAATTTGATTTAATTTCAATTAATATATATCTAAATAGCCCCATCTGGCTAATGACTATCAACTGGACAGTGCAGTATTTAGTGCTTAGTGATGCTCTCTAATTTCCTATACTACACTCTGTAGTGTGAATGGGTGATGGACTAAGATGCTCTACCTCAGTCGAATACATAAATATCTTCCCAAGTAATATCTATTATACATCCTGGGGATGCTAAATAGAGTATATGTGGTGCAAGTATTCAAAATTTAGGTACTTGAAAAATAACTCACTTTTGTATGTGTATATATCTGAATTATTTGCCGGCAGCAGCTTGGTCTTCAAACAATCTCCTTCTTCCAAGTAGATTCTGTTCCCAAAGATTGTAATTTGGTAAAGATTGTATGGTTACGGCCATGGTCATGACAGAGGGTCTGTCAGTGTTTTCAATGAATCAGCATTACAAAAATGCAGAGAAGATATTTCCAAACCCATGTAAGAAAATGATGAGTTCATAATTGTTAACAGTGATTTTGTTCCTTTTACTATTGATCCTGTTACAATGGTGTTCAACTGAGGGTGATTTTGTCGTCAGGGGACATTTGGCAATATCTGGAGACCTTTTTTTTTTTTTGTCATAGCTGACATTTAATATGTAGAGAAAAAGAAATGTTGCTAAACATCCTACAATATACACAGCAGGGCCCCGTACAACACATAATTTCTATACCAAAATGTTAATAGTGCCAAAGTTGAGAAATTATGAAATATAGTGATGATTGAAAGAATGAGTTTGACTTTATTACCTTAAATATATTTTAATGTATACAACATAATATTATATGGGACAAGAAAGAGTCTTGATATAAAACATGAAAGGATATCTTAACACAGTAGTTATTTCATTAATTAAATTAAATGTTAAAGAGGGAGAAAAAGCAAATAAAGGTTAAGATGCACAGACTCAGACTAAAAAGTTTAATCTTTGTTTAACACTGCTCCACAGTCAATGTAAGTTCCACAAAATAGACATTTAAATACAGATGAAAAAGACCAGTTTATCATAATAACTAAGCCATTCCAAGTATGAAGACATTAGTGGTTCAGTGGTAGAATTCTTGTCTTCTGTGTGGGGGACCTGGCTTCAATTCCTGGACAGTATACTTCATACATAGCTTCCACCTGTCTGTCACTGGAGGTTTGTATGTTGTTAATATGCTACCCTGGTTTCAGCAGAGCTGCCAGCCTAAGATGGACTAAGAAGAAAAACCTGATGCTCTATTTCTGAAAATCAGCCAGTGAAAACCCTATGGATCATAATGGTCTGATGAACAACTCATTGTGGGAATGGCACAAGACTGGGCAGCATTTTGTGCTGTTGTGCATGGAGTTGCCGTAAGTTGGAAGCAGACTCGACAGCAGCTAACAATAACAATAACAAGCTGTTACAAAGATGATTTCTTGATTATTTACATATTCTCTATAAATATAATTGTGCAAAAAATGCTTAACATTTTTAACAATAAATTTAAATATTTACAGTAAAGTCTTTACCAATTATAATAAAGTCTTTACCAAAACCTTATATCAAATTGTTTATTAATATGTAATTTTATATTGGCTTCTCATTTAAGCTGTTTTTGAATTTTGAATTTTTTATATTGGCTTCCCATTCTTTGGGTCTCTTAATTGCTCTGCAGTTAGTTGAAAATAAAACTATTTAGAAAATAAAATGCATTAAGAGAATCCATTTGTTTAATTAATTTGTATCTGGGGTGATACAAACAGTTGAAACACTCAGCCGCTGAAAGAGAGGTTGAAGGTTGGGGTCCATCCAGAGGCACCTTGAAAGAAAGGCCTGGTGATCTATTTGAGAAAAATCAGCCACTGAAACCTTGTGGAGAACACTTTTACTCTGACACAGATAGGATCGCCATGAGTTGGAATACTCTTGATGGGAACTGGTATTGCTTTAAAAAGTGACTCAAAGTGACACAGACATGAAGTCAATTTACAGCAGGATGGGGCTGAACATAGCTCTTCCTTTCTGAGTTCTTGCCTCTTCTTCTGATTTCCGCTTAATGAAAAGGCCAAGAAACTTTATCTTAAATTTCTAAGTGTTAGAAGACATTTTTACGTTGCCCTGGGCTAGGCAATATCTCCAGTTTTCTGGTGTCTGACCCAAGGATTTATTCATTGCTCCAGCTCTGTTGGTGTAGTGCCTAAGGCATTTGACTACTAACCAGAAGGCTGGCAGTTCAAGCCCACCAGCCACTCCTTGGAAGGAAGATTGGACAATTTACTTCTGTAGAGATACTGCCTCAGAAACCCAAGGAGGGTTTGCTATGAGTTGCAATAGACTCAATGGCAGTGAGTTTGGAGTTAAATGTTTGAAGAGTTCAAATTCTGAACTTCTGAGTGTAAATATAAATGTCAAGTTTTTCCATGTTTCAACAGAGGACACATCTGGGCAAAAAGCGGGGAGTCATTAGGGTAATGTAGCGTGCTCTGTCAGTAAACACATAGAGAATGCTTAACCAGTTGGTACCTATCTGATTGAACTGCTGGATCATTCTAAAATAGGTAGTGTAGTGTTAGGAACAGAAAGATGAGCAAAGAAGTTACCAGAAACATTTATCATCAATGACAGTTATTTGTGGAGTTGACAGTATCTTCTTTACTCATAGCAAGCAAAAGCTGTCAGATGACTTGAAAGAAATAATGCCTTCATCTTGTTTAAAGAGAGAGTGGCAGTTTACACATAATTGCATCTGGGACACAGTGATAATGGTACACACGGCAACACATACAGAACACAATTTGCTAGATACCAACACATAACCCACAACCACACATGTCTGTGGCATTATATGTTTGTTTTAGATTTAATCCAGTCCCGGTAACGAGTCACTTTGGTATAAAGTCCAGGCTTGTTTGGTTTTCCACAGTCTATTCCCCAGCTTACTATTCCAATGAGATACCAGATGTTTCTATCAAGTGCAATAACCAGGGGTCCTCCAGAATCACCCTGGAGAAGAAAAAAAATATGGTCAATGTGATATATAAAGATGTGTCAGAAATGAGTTATTCAATTGAAATTCTAATAAATTAATATTTTATATTGAAGTATGCATAAGTAATACTGTTTTACTTACCATTAGCATTACTTACTGCTTATACTCAGTTAATGACCTCATCTAGAATGTAATGTGAATAAAGCTATTGTTTGCTTTTATACTTATAGGAGTTTTATTCCTGCTCTGTATAAACAATGGTCACAAACTGAACTTACACCCAGTCAGCCAATTCTTACCTAAATGATAACTTCAAGGCTCAACTAAAATGTCACTTCCTTCATGAAGCTTCTAACTCTGTTATAGTGGAAAAAAAATATCCTTCTTTGAATTTGAATTATACCTTTTTACCCTACTAATACTAATTGATAACAAATACTACTGAATGTGGTATTTCTATGCAGCAATAGGCTTGAGAGGAGAAAGGTATGCAAAGAGCACTGTAACCAAATGTGCACTGTTTACTACTGAAAGGATTGTGCTCTCATTCTAAAGTAGAATTCTTAGCCCTAATGAATTGGTTAAAAACATGAGAATCATAAAGACTTCCCTATAGTATCTATAACTTGAGGTTTAGACAAATGGTTTTTAAGTTTATATTTTACCATTGTACCTATTCATTAAAAGGAAATATTATGTGGAAGCCTAATATAGACTTTTCCATGAGAGAAATTGTCCTGTTTGAATCAGGTATTGAGGTGTAAAGACTTGTGCCTTTAGTTCACTCCCTTTCCCTTGTCTTCTCATACTTATTGGTAGCTTCCAGTGTTGAGTGGACAGAGTGAAAACCCTAGCCTACACCAAAAACACTTACCCTCAGTTCAGTAGGCCCACATACTAATTTACGTCCTCAATATTTCATTATTTGAGTTGAGGACTAAGGTGCATCTGCCCCAAGCCATGATATTTTCAAGCACCTTATACATATGTGAAAGCTGGACAATGGATTAAGAAGGACAAGAAAAATTGATCCATTTGAATTATGGTATTGGATAAGAATGTTGCATATACCATGGACTGCCAGAAGAAAGAAGAGATCTGTCTTAGAAGAAGTACAACCAGAATGCTCTGTAGAATGGAGGATGGCAAGACTTCATCCCATGTTCTTTGGACATATTATCAGAAGGGGCCCATCCCTGGAGAAGAACATCATGCTTGGTAAAGTAGAGGGTCTACTAAACAAAGGAAGACCCTCAATGAGGTGGATTGACACAGTGGCTGCAATGATGGGTTCAGGCATAGCAATGATTGTGAGGATGGTGCAGGACTGAGCAGTGTTTTGTTCTGTAGTACATAGAGTTGCTATGAGTTGGAACCAACTTGATGGTGCCTAGCCACAACAGCAACAACATGTGGTAAAAGGAAGCAAAGGGAAGTGAATCCCCCAAAAAACCACATCAGTGGAAAGAGAATATCTGCTGCTATATATATTTAGTATGCTCCTTTTCTAAGACCTTGTGACCAAGTTGTATTTTAGAACACCCAAGTTGCTTCTGCTTCTCTGTACCAGGGACAACTCAAATAGAGTGAGGTAAGAATGACCTTTCATTCCAGAGTATGTAGCCAACTCCTGTTTTTTTTTTTTTTAGTTACTTTGTGCTATATCGTTAGATTGTAAATCTATAGTGGAAAGAGATCATGATATTTAAATATTACCTTTATGTTTCTTTCAGAAACTGCCACAATCCCTGGCATATAATAGACTTACAAATTTTTTAAAAAGAAATGTAACTGAATAATTATTACAATAATATAACCAACAGCCAATCAATAACCAAGCAGATCAATAGTGGCAACTTTGTGTATAGAGAAAAGCACTCACATATGTCAAATTGCCATAGTCATTTCTTACAAGAATTGCTAAATTGTTGTGCTCAGTCACAAATGTTTTATCTAAAATATTTCTATTCAGTGTGTGGCCCCCAACTGAATCACAAACTGAATTGCACCACACTGATGTGGATAAAGGGAGGGATGGTATAGAAAGAGTCTGTGACCACCATGATAACATTAGGAAAAGGGAGGACACTGAATTGTGCACATAAGATATAAACGACAGAGGCTAATACCAGTATATCCATAATACTGCATTACCATTAACACCAAACACCAGGCTACAGATAAACACATAAACATCTGAGAAGATCAGATGGGGGTCAGTGAACAGGATTATATTCTAGATGAAGGATAGAGTCAGCTGAGGCTAATCTTGCACAAATACCAGTGACACAAAATACCCACAATCCTTACAGAAACAACAGAAGACAGACATAGAGTGATCTCTCATAGACAGTCAGGCACTGTGGAAGAGAGATACCACAAATCTACCAACTGGGGGACACCTGACTCAACTGACACAACAAAATACTTAAAAATCTTGTTCCTCAACCAACATTGGTGAGTAGCGACTGGGGTCTTAAAAACTTTCAAGCAGCCATCTAAGATGCAGCTAATAGTCTCCTATTGTCAGAAGTGAAGAAGACTGCAAAAAACCAAGGGCATTGGGAAGCAACCAGCCCTAAGACATGATGGACCTTGAGAAAAGAAGAACTAGATGTTGCCTGGCTACCAATGCCAACTACTTGGGAAAGGATCAAAACTGGAGAGCCTGGATAAAGTGGGAGGAAAAATGTGGAACAAAATCCAAAAACATAATAATGACCAGAATTATTGGTTGGATGAAGTCTGGTGGGACCTCCAATACTATCACCCTGGGATACATTTTGGGCATGGAATAAAACTCACTGCCAGGGACTGGCTCTCAACCCAATAGTAAACAAGTTGTATATGTGGACCACTCAAACCAGGGTGACGCACCCACATACTCTATGGAGATGCATCCCTTGGAGCAATTGACTATGGGTCAACTACGGGGCAACATTCTCTTGGAGGCAATGCAGGACACACAAGAGTGCATGACTATGAGGGGCATGGGGTGTGGGTTACTGGACTGGGAAGGAAGGAGACTGGGTTAGGGTTGGGGATGGTAATTGGGGAGTGAAACCAAATGTACATAAAAACAAACTCTGCTTTGTAAACTTGCATGTAAAGCACAATTAAAAAAAAATACTGTTTTAGTTATCTATTTGGAATGAGGCATATAATTGTTGATGTCAGATAGATCTTGACTGAAAGCAAAAGATACCAGAGAAATGTTTGCCAGTGTTCTATTGACTATGCAAAGGCCTTCGACTGTAATGATCATAAACATAACATTATCTTATGGATAATGTTGCAAAAAATGGGAATTCCAGAACACTTAATTGTGCTCATAAGGAACAGGGACCAAGAGGCAATTGTTCAGGTAGAACAAGGGGATATTGCATGGTTCAAAACCAGGATAGATGTGTATCAAGGTTGTATCCTTTCATTATACTTATTCAATATGTATATTGAGCAAATAACCTGAAAACCTGGATTACACGAAGAACATGAAATTAGTACTGGAGGACAATCTAGAAACAGTCTGCAACAGTAGATGACAGAACTGTACTTGCTGAAAGTAAAGAAGACTTGAAGCTCTTACTGATTAAAATCAGAGACTACAGCCTCCAGTGAGAATTACACTGCATCACAAAGAATATAAAAATCCTTAAAACTGGACAAAAATGCCACATCACGGTAAATGGAGAGAAGATTGAAGCTGTCAAAGATTTCATTTTACTTGGATCCAAAATCAATGTCCATGGAACGAACAGTTAAGAAATCAAACGACAAATTGCACTGGACAATTCTCAAAAAGATCTCTTTAAAGTATTTAAAAGCAAAGATGTCCTTTTGAGGACTAAGTTGTGCCTAACCCAAGCTATGATATTTTCAACGGCCTCATATATACTTGAGAGCTAGCTATACAGAGAATAAGGAAGATTGCAGAAGAATCGATACATTTGAATTGTGGTGTTGGTGAAAAATATTGAAATTACCATTGATGCTAGAAGAAAGAACAAATCTGTGTTGGAGGAAGCACAGCAAAAAGGGAAGACCCTCAATGAGATGGATTGACACAGTGGGTGTGATGATGGGATGAAGAAGCATGGCAATGATTCTGAGGAGGGTGCAGGAACAGTCAGTGTTTTGTTATGTTGTACATAGAGTCTCTATGAGTCAAAACCAACTCAGTGTCACCTAGCAACAACAATTTTTATCCTCTGAACAGCTAGACTTTAAAACTGACATTCTCTTTAAAACCTTAATGTTTACAATGAAATCTGTGTTTGGGTGGGGAAAAGTTATTTAATTTCTAAATATGATTGGTGAGTCAGACAGTACTCTCTCTATATATATGTATATGCATGTATGTATGTGTGTGTGTGTATACATATATATATATGTGTATACACACATATGTGTATATGTATATATGTGTGTGTATATATATATATATATATGTATGTGTACACACACATATGTATGTGTATATATATATGTATATATATAATTCCCAAACACTTCATTGTACTCATGAGGAACCTGTACCTTGACCAGGAGGCTGTCATTCGAACGGAACAAGGGGACACTACATGATTTTAAATCAAGAAGGGAGTGTGTCAGAGTTGTATCCTTTCCCCACACTTATTCAACCTATATGCTGAGCAAACAATCCGAGAACATGGACTATATGAAGAAAAATGTGGCCTCAGGATTGGAGGAAGAATCATTAACAACCTGAGATATGCAGATGATACAACTTTGCTTGCTGAAAGTGAGGATGACTTGAGGCACTTACTGATTAAGTTTGAAGAATGCGTCTGTAGTAGGGATTACGTCTCAATATAAAGAAAACAAAAATTCTCACAACTGGACCAATGAGCAGCATCACAATAAATGGAGAGAAGATTGAGCTCGTCAAATAATTCACGTTGCTTGGTTCTACAATCGATGCCAATGGAAGCAGCAGTCAGGACATTAGATGACATGTAGCATTGGGAAAATCAATCATGAAGGAACTGTTTCA